TGGTTGAGCTCCCTGTTTCAACAGGCTTGAAGGATGTGGTTGGTTGTTCCAGGAGCCTTGTCAAGCCTGTGAATCACCCCTAGATCACTTCCCTCCCCAGAGAAGGAGAAGAAACTGTTCCCATTTGAGAGTGTGTGTGTTTATGTATGTATGTGAGAAAGAGAGACAATGCACGCAGGCGAGAGTGCTGACTCGCAGGCGAGAGTGCTGACTCGTGTGGCCTTGACCTTAGGACTAGGATCCTGTTTGACCTTGCCCTTACCTGGAGCACTTTTTCTACTCCTCTCTCCCAACCTACATTCTTTCCTCTTTCCTTCCCAACTTACCTCTTCCAAAAGGCCATCACTAGATCCCAGTGCTCAACTCTAGGAACCCCTCCAGGTTTGAACAGCTGCTCCTTGTTTATCTGTTTCTCTTGTATGCTGGGTGTCTTCCATGGGGCATGTGGCCCAATTCCCATCAGACTATGAACAGCTGGGCCTTCCTTTTTTGCCTCAGTGTTCCCTTTTCTTTCAGCTTCACCTACCAGGTCCTAAATGTACTTCAGTGCCTTGGTGATCTAGAACACAAGACTGAAACTATGTATGTTGAGTGTCCATGATGGAGGCCAGGTACTGGGTAGATGCTTTACCCAAATTATCTCAGGTCAACTTCCGAAAAGCCCTATGAGGTTACAGGTGAGGAAACTCAGGCTCAGAATGACTGGCCCAAGATCGCATAGCTAGGAAGTGCCAGGGGCAGGATTTGAACCCTGATCTGCCAACTCCACTCATTCCATAATGGAACTGGCCCTGAAGAAGATCCTTTTCATGCTGCAGCTGTGCATCCTAAGTCCTTTGGGGGCTGGATCCACAGTCTAAGGGTTTAGAGAAAAAAATGAAGGGCAGAGAAGTGAATGAGTCTGGGGCAAGTTCCTAAAAAAGTAGCCCTGAGTCCCACGACCAAGATCAAAGTTTGTGATGATCTAAACATACGGGAGAATGTATTATCTCCACGTAGTCAACCCTTAAGTTATCATCCCAAGTGTCACTGGCCCAGATATCATCCTGGATTTGCTCCTTTCCTCCTGCCCCACACTGACCTCCTTCCATTGTCCATTACAAACTCACCCACATGACACTTAGTGAATGTCCCAGACAATGAGGCAGTCCTCAAACACCATCCTGCACTGCTCTCTCGCTGTCCTACAGGCCTGAGCCTGGCCTCCACAGCCAGACGCCATTTGAGGAGAAGGGCCCCATCTTAGGTTCATATTCTCCTTTGAAGGTAAACTGACCTGAGTTCACATCCCAGCTCTGCCTTATACTAACAGAGAGACCCTGAGCAAGCTGGCTTACCTCTCCAAGCCTCGGTTAGCCCACGTGTATAAAGGAATTACAGACCCCACCCTGTAGGGCTGTAGGAATCATGTGAACTAATGTACGTTAAGCGTTCGGCACCATCCCTGCCACAGGGTTGGTAACTGCTACCATTGGCTATTCTTCGTATTCCCTAAAGGGTCCTGTGGAGGATCAGAACATTCATGACTGGTATTTGTCTGAAATAAACAATCAGGAAAGGAAGCAACCGTGAAAGCACAACGCCTTCCAAATTCAAACAGAAGTAATTTCTTGTTTGTTTTAGAAAAATGAGATTATCCCTGCCAACATATGACCTGACATACACCTGCCTATGCGTGCAAAGAATTATGTAGACCTGAACTCATGTCCCATGGGAAAACTTTCCAATGAAGTAATCTATAGTTTGCATTCAGCACTATTTTAAAGACAAGTGGTCTGAGGCCAAAGCCAGTTTACCTAAGGTCTCCTCAGAGGCAGCTCATAAAAGCTAGAAGAGAAGCCCAGGGAGCCTGACCTAACTAGCAGCTGCCCCTCACCCCCATTCCAAGCAGGGTCTTGGCAAAGAGGAAGCAAGCCAAGAGCTGACAGCACCATCCAAATGATGGAGGTCACTTGCCTGTCTTCTCATAAACAGACCAAGAGCACAGACCCTTGGTGACTAGACAGCTCCTTCTCATCCCTGGGACAAGCTTACCCTTCGGCTAATGTCCCGAGAGAATCTTTGCGGTGTGTTCCCAGAGTTCTGGAGGCAGCAGAGCAGCTCCTGCTCGGGCCCCAGGCCTCATCAGCTTGCTCCAGCTAACACACACATCCATAAAACCTCTCTGCTCTGCAATTTACCAAACCACAGACTCAGAACTCACCATCAGTGGAGGTGAGGCAGGAAGGAGGCATGATCCTCAAGTGTAGAGGGCTTCCAGAACATACATGACTTGGATGCAACATGTCCTTCCTGCCAGCTAACCACAACACAGTGCCTTACCCAGAAGACTTGGCCTTCTGGTGTGTGGTACCACTGTGCAAGGGCGAGGAGAGGAGGCTAGCCTTAGCCTCAGAGGCCACAGCCTCCCCCAACCTGCTCCTCCTGCCCGTCAGCCTTGCTGGACGCTATTATTTATTACCCTCTCCTTATGTTATGCATTAATGACCCAAGTGTGTAGGAACCTTGATACCACCAGATATTTGTCTCCCTAGTCAACCCCTGACAGTCTTAAAGTACATTCAATGAGTAAAACTCACACCCTGGGGAAAAGGTCAGTCAGACCAGGTTCTATGACTATCTGTGTTGCAAGTTACTTTACTCAAGCTGGTTCTCAGTTTCCTCATCTGTAAAATGAGAGGGTTGAGCCAGAGATTCTCTGGGTCCCTGCAAGCTCCATGATTCCACAGCTTATAACACTTTCTCCGTTAACTGTTTTCCAGAACCATAGTTCAGAGCTCTGGATGGCCCCATCTGTTCAGTGACATCACTCCCTGCCCAAACATAATGTCATTGATTCCGACATGGGAAGTGGAGATGTCCCAGGAAGCCCTGTGTCCGTAAAAAGGAAGGAAATGATCATTTTAAGGGAACTGGATAGGACTTCCTTTGTATTTTTCACATAGAACAAGTTATTATCAATCTTAAAAGCCAAAATCTTTCTTCGTTTTTGCCAGACCATCAACAGCTGCTTTTGAAAAGTATTTTTTTAGTCACAATTTCACAAATAATAAGTTACTATTTAATGAGTGTTTACTATGTGCCAGGAACTGAGCTATGTGATGAACAGAGATCATCTCATTTAATTCTCCTGACAGCCCTATGAAGCAGGTACTATTATTATCCTCGCTTTAAAAATGAGGACACGGAGGCCCAGGGAGGTTAAACAACTTGCCCAATCCCACAGCTACTAAGTGGCAGAGCAGCTTTGAACAAGACCATCTAACTCCAGCACCCCATCTCTTCACTACCTCTCAAGACCGCCTGCAGTGAGTCCCTGGTCACCTTGGCAACACTCCTGGCTTGTTGCCAGCCTGTCCTGCATCAGTAATCTTGGACACCATTGGTCAGACCTCAAATTTGATGTTTCACCTAAAATTCACAGCTGGAAAAGCACCTGTCTGGGTCTCACAGCAGAGAGTGCCATCTGTTGAAAGTAGGGCCAACCTTAACCAAGGACTAGAAAAGAGAAACTTAGCCTGCAACATCTGAGAAAAGAAGTTAGGAAGGCTGATTCCATCAGCCTGACAATGCAGAAATGGACATCTGTCCCCAGAGCAGGGCCACCTGGTTACCCAAGCCCTCCAAAAGAAGCTTTCTTGAAATGGCAGTGGGAGATGCTTGCCCAACCAGGTAATACAAAAGGAAGAACTTCCTGACCATGCCAGGGAACATACCCCCCAGGCACCTAGCTCTCTGCCTGGTAGTGGGACCAGCCTCCAGATATACCTCCTCCCCAACCTAAGCCTAGTCCCACTGGCTCAACTGTAAAGAAACCCAAAGTTCAGGGCTATTGGTGACAGAGGTAGAAAGAGTAGCCTGCGGCTGAGATTAGCACAAAACCAACCCCTTCCAACAGGGAAATAAAAGGCACTTTCAGGGATCAACGTGCAGTCTAGGGCAGCAGCCAACAGCCTGTTTTAATTGTTAAAATTAATGCTTCGAGCATTCTAAATTCCCCCTATAAATGCCTAATTTGCAAATAAGATGCAGCCCTGCTGTCCCAAAGTCCTCTGTGCTTTGACTGATACCCGGCTGTGTGTCTGTTTCTTCCTTCTCAAGTACAAGAGCAAAGATGCTCAGGCAGGCGTCGCCAGGCGTCAAGGACACCGTGTTTACTTCCTAAGGTTCGAAGGATGGGAAGACAGGACCGGCTGAGATGAAAGCGGGACGTGTCACACAGACCCCGGAGCTCGGCCCGGTCAACATCAGCCCCTTCTCATTAAGTTTTGGAAAGGCAGGGGGAGGGGCCGCGACCATTCCTCAGAGACCACAGCAAACATTTGCCTCCTCCTGTCTGGAGATGGAGCATCACTTAAGAGGAAATGAACCCGGTTAAGGGTCACGTCCAGAGGAGGGATAAAAGGAAAGCCACAGTTCTCCTCACGCCGATGGACACAATGACTTTAAGGAGGAAATCAAAGCTCAGTGCTGAGGGTGGAGGTGAGGCAGGGGGTGCAGCAACTTCCTTTTGCCCCCAGACAGGGCCTAGGCAGGCAGAGACTAGAGCAAACGTGGGAGGCAGAGTGAGGCTTCGCCAGTGCCAGCCTCTGAAAGCATCTCGGTCTGCGTGAGCCCGAGTGACCCGAGCCCCAGCGAGGGCCGAGGAAGATGCTTTTCCCAACGGAGGTTCTCAGAGACTCTGACGAATGCGCCCCTGGTTGGGGGAGACGGGGGTCCTCATCCATCAAAGCTCAGAGGGACAGATGACTTCACCGGTGTAAGAGACAAGGGCAGCCACTTGCCAATTCCAATGCCAAAAAGAAAACAGGGAGGGGGAGTGGCGGAAGGACAGAAAAGGCTTCCCTGGAGATCACAACCCTGCGAAGAAACTCCACGGACGCGGCTGCCCTGTGGGCACTTAGCTTGGGCACTTAGCATGAGTGAGGGGCCACCCAGGGGGGCCTTTCCTGAGGTCCTCCGCCAGCCCTCAGTAGGGTTGAGGTGGGGGCACAACTCACATAGTGCTTGGATGGGTTCCTCCGCTTCTCCACGTCCACCACCGTGGCATCTTGCACGCAGTAGGCGAGCATCTTCCCCCACAAGGCGAGTGGCGCCCCCCGGCGGCGTCACCTTCTCATCGCGTCCAGGCTCTGGCTCCTCCGCTTCCCGAGTCCCCGCGGCCACCCGCCACCGCAGCCCGGCGCACCGGCCGCTGCCCGGGCTCCCAGCGCCCGCAGGTACGGACCCGGGGC